GTAAGATATGTCAGGTTCTCTACAAATTTTCATACCCGTGATGTCTCGGTGAAGAACATCTGTGAGGAGCTGCAAGGATGGTTTGAGCTTGTGTAAAGGCAAATCTATGATGCATTTGAATGATACATAGGGCAGATAATTAACTGAAATTGGTCGTCTGATTCTTGCAGGTTTTTAAGGGAGTTGGACTTGCAGGAAAACGAAGTCGAAGATCGCAGAGGACAGTGGCTTAGTTGTTTTTCAGACAACTGCACTACTCTTGTCTCTTTGAATTTTGCTTGCCTCAAAGGAGAAGTTAACTTGGCAGCTCTTGAGAGGCTAGTGGCTAGATGTCCAAACCTAAGAAGTCTGAGATTAAATCATACTGTGCCTCTTGATGCTCTTCAAAGGATTTTAATTAAAGCTCCTCACTTAGTGGACTTGGGGACAGGGAGTTTTATCAGTGATCCAGTTTCTGAGACTTACAACAAACTAAAGAATGCTCTGAAGAGGTGTACTTCTATTAGGAGCTTGTCGGGGTTCTTGGAGATTGCTCCTCGCTGCCTGCCTGCTATTTATCCAATTTGCCTGAATTTGTCGTCCCTGAACTTGAGCTATGCACCTGGAATCTACAGTGCTGAACTTATAAAGCTGATTCGTTTCTGCGGAAAACTAGAGCGCCTATGGGTTGATATTTTTGCCCCCCTTTTAATTATTTCCTTGTTGCTTTATTTTCCTACAATTGTTTGACGCGTTAAATATTGATTTCACAGATTCTGGATACTATTGGAGATAAAGGGCTAGGTGTTGTGGCTTCTACTTGTAAAGAATTGCAGGAATTAAGGGTCTTCCCATCTGACCTTCATGGATTTGGCCATGCTGCTGTAACTGAAGAGGGCTTGGTTGCAATATCAGCCGGTTGTCCAAAGCTCAACTCATTGTTGTATTTCTGCCAGCAGATGACTAATGCTGCACTTATAACTGTTGCCAAAAACTGCCCAAACTTTATTCGTTTCAGATTGTGCACTCTTAACCCAACTGTGCCAGATGCAGTTACCATGCAGCCACTAGACGAAGGTTTTGGGGCAATTGTACAGTCGTGCAAAGGCCTCAAGCGGCTGTCAGTCTCTGGTCTTCTAACTGATCAGGTTTTCCTTTACATAGGAATGTATGCTGAGCAGCTTGAGATGCTCTCCATAGCCTTTGCTGGAGATAGTGACAAGGGGATGCTATATGTGTTGAACGGGTGCAAGAAAATGAAAAAGCTTGAGATCAGGGATAGCCCTTTTGGTAATGTGGCACTTCTGGCGGACGTGGGGAAGTATGAGACAATGCGATCCCTTTGGATGTCGTCCTGCCAAGTGACCCTTGGAGCATGCAAGGCTGTTGCTCAGAAGATGCCGAGGCTCAATGTGGAGATCATCAGCGAGAACGATCAGATAGACACTTGCTCTGATGACAGGCAAAAGGTCGAGAAGATTTACTTGTATCGAACATTGGTTGGTCCCAGGAAGGACTCCCCAGATTTCGTCCGGACGTTGTAGAGGACATGTGTGCATCTGCTTCCCTCTGCCTCTTGTAACTTTAATTTGTTCAAATGAACTGTTATGTATTCTTAGTTCAACTACCTACTTATTGGAATGGAGACTATTCACTTTTCTGAATCTGGTGATCCACAATTTAAGGGGCATTTCGTATCTTGCTGTATGGATCTCTGTGTGTATTTCCCGGCTTCTTTCACTCCAAAGCCAGGAAAATGAGGATGGATTTATGCGTTTTATATTTAACTTTCTACACAATTCTCTCATCCCGACTATATGATTTATAATCATTTTCAGATTGACTACTCTTTTAACTTGATAAGACTAGGATATGAATTATATAAATGAGATTCTGAGGCACAAAAGTTTTAACTTTTCTACGTTGACTTAAAGGTACTTTTTAATTAGAGAAAGGTTCTGTAACACATCTACATTAGATCTTTAAGTAGAGCAATCAAATGCAATAAGCATATGAATAAGCTCGCATCTCCTGCGATTACCTTGCAGGTCAAAAAAGACTAACCTTACTTAAACCTAATCTGCTCTATCAGATAAATGATTTTTAAAGAACCCACCATTTGGGAAAGCAAAACTCTTTGCACCTCAACGACAACGGCAACCTAGTGAAATCCCACAAGTGGGTAAGTGGGTTTGGGGAGGGCAGTGTGTACGCAGACCTTATCCCTACCCTGATGGGGCAGAGAGACTGTTTTCGATAGACCCTCGGCTCAAGAAGACGGAAAAGATGAGAAGACAAGAGCACTGGAAGAAACCATAAAAAAATTAATCGTTGTGGCTCAAGAAACAAGCGACTGATCTATTGTTCAAGGACTAAGACCATGTTCCATATTCTCTTACAGTGAATCTGAAACCTAGAAATCTGCGGAGGAAAACAATTCAGTTTACTGATCAGTTCCTCAGACGTTACAGTGTAAATCTAAACTGGTAACCTGTGATACCTACGACGCGAAAGAACTAAAACTGAAGGTGTCCAACTTGATATGCATCCTTGCTTGAATAAAGGCCAAGTTGTGGAACCAACATTCAACGTTTCTTTTTGTTTCCCTTTGCAACATTGGATTTTGATGGGGTTGCCACCAGGTATACAAACATAACCACAATTGAGACCACAGATATCAAGGATCCATATTTTGCCAATAAACTCTGCAAAAAAGAAAAGAAAAGACAGATAAAAGTTAGGACCTAATTCTTAAAACTTTCCATCGAAGCCATCACAAGTTCAAGAGAAACCCCACATTACTTTTGGGGAGGGCTAGGGGATATCAAATGAGACTCTGTACTCCATATCTCACATTGTCCTCAAATTTTCTACACCATGTAGTTTACTTTTAACATTTGCAGTCAAATACATTGGCTGTCTCAAACTTGGCTCCAATTTTCATCTTATCTTAGGATTCGACCTATTCAACACCTAAAGTTGGCAGATATGAACCTATTAAACCCTTCACTAGCAAATTGTAAATGAAACAAAATGCATGGAGTTGAGTCGTGGTGACTAGTCGAAAAAAAAATATGACATGTGGTTTTGGAGCCAAAAAATGCAACAAAAGAAGGAAAATAAAAAGTCTTTGATGCCCAAAAATGGAAAAAACTTTGTTTCCAGATAAGTATTTCTTCTCCCCGCTCCCTCTCGTCTTCTTCATCTTCTTTCTTTCTTGCCCAAATCGATGTCTAGTTTTACATGATTGTAATCATTCTCAAAACCAATAAGAAATCATACCTTAGCCTGTGAATTTTCACCAGCAGTGTAAGACATCCATGCAAGAAAAATAAAATAAATTAAAGGAAGTCATTATAAGAAACAACGACCAGTTAACCATATTTAGGTGGCCGTGTGCAGCTGCAACTAGTATCTAAGCTTACCCGATCAAATTTTTTTTCAGGAGGTCTATCAGCTAGTATGTCAAGAGGAAGGATTGGAGTTGAGTATGCCTCCTAGAACAAAAACATTTAAGATCCAACACCATCCATATAAACCAAACAGGTAGAAGCATGTCAAGAAACAGATGAGAATGTCAAACCTGCAGAGCAGCCTTTGTGGGGATGCGGAATTTTATAACTGCTGGTGCACCATAAAACACTGTTTTGGTCTTAGCCTCCAACTCAAAGGAATGCGAGAGAACAGTTCCTCTGACATCAGATAAACAAGTATGATAAAGAGATAAATTTAAAGATACTTAATTGTCAATACCATCATACCACAAATAATATGAGAACTCACGCATCCAGCCTTTCCCATGACATGGATGTGTTGCCAGCGACAATGTCAAACACATTTTGAGACCAGCTATCATCATTAAGGTTTAAATCATATGCCGTCCTGAAAAAATAAGAGCTATTCGTGTCAAAAGATCAGCAACACATTGTTTTTTTACAAAAAAGAAAGAAAGAACACAAAGAATCCATTTCATTGAAATAGCATCACCAAATCTCCGAGATCTAATGGTGGATAGACAGAAGAAAGCGAAGATTCAGAAAATCGACTGCCCTAAAGCAGTATTAAATTCTAAGGCAGGTAAAAGCATGCACACACAAGTTTGAGATAAGGAATGTTAACAAGGTAGGAAAGATTTAATTGACCAAATATCATTATTGGTTAATTTTCAGAGAATTAACAATGTTTTCACTAATAAAAGATCTTATGCTTGCAACTACTCAAGGGGCTTAAACAGCTGGCTTGGATCCCTCAACTCCTCCTTTCCTCATCTACCTCTTACAAACGGCAAAAAAAAAAAACCCTTTCCTCTGCAATCAGTTTCCTTTATCCTCCTATGTTATGTCAATTTGGCTATAGTGATTAGGTTGAGGAATACTATTCGAAAAAAATTTAGACAGTTTTTTTGGATGGGCCGTGGACTTGTCTCGTGCCACTATTTTCATGTACGTTCTTGGAGGTTTCATTGACACATTGCGGGAGGTTTAGCTATGTACTTGAGAATTCTCATTTTACTTCTCATGTATATGTCTTGAGTTATGATTTCTGCACTATGATTATGAGTCTTCGGTGAAGTTATGATTTTGATATATGATGGATATGCGAGCCAAATGCTTTATGTTAAAGATTTAAGTTTGTTTAAAGAGTTCATATGCACGTATGTCATGATTATGATTAAAGAGTTCACAGCATCAGGTGCCAGTCATGCTCCGCCTAATTTGGGGCGTGATACTCGCAGGAAAGCACAGAAACCACAACTAATGACATTTGACTGATCAAAAGAAGGAAAACGGCGATGAGTAGGGAGCAAATAAACCAATTCTATTAGAAATAAGAGGAAAAAAAGAAAATGATAGAAAGCATGATATGGATAGGGCTGAGATCTTTTACAATAAATTATACTTGATCCAACAAATGAAGACATACACAAGCGACAGGGAACCATTTAAAATTGTAATATCATGTCAGGAAAGGGAGGAAAAAGGAAAAAGTACGAAAAGAAAGAAAAATTTCAATTAATCACATTAGCCACCCATCGGAACAGATGGATTAGATGAAGTATTAAATGAGACAAAAAAAAAAGCACTAACAATGCTTCCATGTAGTAACACTCACGCGACTAATAAGTAGTAGTAATAATAGCAACACACGGATTAAAAGCAATTAATGCTAATTACTTCAACTACACACGAACTAACAGGGGCAGAGCTAGACTGCCAGGAACATGTTCGACCAGTAGTAGTAATAATAGCAAGCAATTAATGCTAATTACTTCAACTACACACAAACTAACAGGGGCGGAGCTAGACTGCCTGGAACAGGTTCGACCAGTAGTAGTAATAATAGCAAGCGATTAATGCTAATTACTTCAACTACACACGAACTAACAGAGGCGGAGCTATATTGCCAGGAACAAGTTTGGCCGAACCCAGTAGTTTTGATTCAAACTCTATATTTATCTTTTAAAAGATCATTGAATATGTACAAACTATCAATTTAGAATCTAGTAGCTAAAATGATTAGAATCCCAAACCGATAAGCTTGAAATCCTAGCCTTTTGCAACTACTACTTTCATATCCTTCACCGTAACAAAATGAAAACAAAGAAGCACAATAACTGCATATCATGCATAAATTACAAAGCAAAGCACCGCGAGATACCAGTAGTAATAAAAGTAGTAACCAGAGGAGAAACAAGTGGGATCTGGGGGAAAAGAGATGAAAACGTACGCAGATCCTTGATTATAGATGTCAATGGAGACAGAGAGTCGTTCGGCACCAGATTTGAGGCGGGTAAGAGTGGCCTTCTTGTGTGCTACGATGAATGGTCCCTCCGAGCTGGCGATCGTCGATAATAGAGCTAAAACTACAGCTATGAGGATCATGTAGTAATAATCATGTAAAAATAGCATCGGTATAGCCAGTTTTCGGACTGTCATTCAAAAATAGCCGGCGTTTACGAAGTCAATGAAAAATAACCACTATTTTGCTGCAACAAAGAACGGTCCAACATAATATACTGGAGTTCGGTGCACCTGTGTATGAACTCCAACATATTATGCTGGACCGGTATACTTTGCTGACTCCAGTATAATATACTGGAAACTGGAGCACCGGTGCTCCAAAATTCATTATATTATACTGGACAATTATATTTGCTGGAACTCCCGTATATTATGCTGGAGTTCTAGTGTATTTATGCTGGAACTCCATCATATTATGCTGGACCGGTATACTTTGCTGACTCCAGTATAATATACTGGAAACTGGAGCACCGGTGCTCCAAAATTCATTATATTATACTGGACAATTATATTTGCTGGAACTCCCGTATATTATGCTGGAGTTCTAGTGTATTTATGCTGGAACTCCATCATATTATGCTGGAGTTCCAACATAGTTATCCTGGAACTCCAATATAATATGCTGGAGTTCAAGCATACTTATGCCGTGCTTGAACTCCAGTATAATATACTGGCGTATTTTTCGGGTTTTGAACAGCGTTTTCGCTCAAATTTATCTTTACATGAAAAGTGGCTAAATTTCGATTACTTTTGAAACTGAGCTATTTTTAAACGACCAGTTGTAATTCTGACTAATTTTGAATTTCTCCCAATAATCATGGATGGATGAACAGTTTGGACGCCAATTTCATCTCAACTCACTACTTATAAATTTATATATAAAAAATTATTAAAAT